TAGGGCCAGTTCTTTTGAGTGCCGCTGTGGAAATAAGCTACTCTAGAAATAAGTCACAGATAAGCTGTTGTGGAAATAAGCCCATGAAAATAAGCTATCCAGTTCTTTTCACTTCCTTTCATTTAGCTTATTTCCTCATCTGTCAGGTGAATAGTCTGTAATACCCTTGAATAGTATGGAAGGGGAACAGCAGGGGCGCACAACCAGGGCCTTGGCGACGGCTGTTCTGGCTCGGGCTCCCGGCCAGCTGCGACGCGCCTCGGTGCTCCGGAGTGGGGCGCCGTCAGCCGGAGTGGTGCCCTGGCCGGACCGACCAGGAGCTGTTGCGAGGGAGGAGCCGCGCCAGAGGACAGAGAAGCGGCGGAAGATAGGCTCCTACTCACCTTCCATGTGGCCGGAGCTAGCCGCGACGAGGAGCCCAGGGACCGGCGGTGGCGGCGGCGGCGAGGAACCCTAGCCTTCGCGGCGTGCGAGAGCGAGAGGGGATCGAGCGAGGCGACGGGTTTCCTTTCTGCGGGGGGTCGGGTCGGGTGACGCGGGCTGGGACCTGGGAGGGGTATTTCCTTTGTAATTTGAGCGAACAACAGTGCCATTTTGGTATACCCCTTCAGTTTTAAGTCATAAGCTGCGGGAAGCTACTCTACCCCCAGCTTTTTTCCATCGTGAAGAAACTAGCGGTGGAAATAAGTTGAGCCAGCTTCTCAAAACGAGTTCTTTTGGGCTTCTAGCTTATTTCTGCCATAAGCTGGTAGAAGCCACAAAAGAACTGGCCCTTAATATGTTCAAACAAAGATGCTGCGGAAAGATCGGGTATTTTCAGCTTACAAGAACTAGAGCAAGGAACCAACAACCAGATCAAAACTGCATCCTCGGCAGTCAGCAGTGATTAACATATTGTGGCCATCAACAAGTCCGGAATTGTTTAAAGAAAGGTCCAGACTTGTCATTCAAAGGGAAATTTTACGAGTTCATTTCAAATTGGACTATCTTGTATCATTTCCATGGCCAAACTGAGGACCTTTCTTCATGGAATGATATCAAGAGTGCAGATATACTACTCGCTGAGATTTCAATGCGTCTCCAAAATGACCTGATCTCACACCCTTACTTTCACTATGTTTGCCAACATGACATAAGAATGAACAAGCTCATAACATGCCATGATTTCTTCTTTATTAAGTGATGACATGGCCAAACCACATACTAGGACTCATGAACCTAATTACTAGATTCATCAAGTGTTAGCAGCTCCAGCATGTGACAACCAACAGTTAGCTAGGCAAGAACAAATGAATTAAGGACAGCGATTGGAATATGTGGTACAGTAAGCATCAAAATTTGAATACCTTGTTCTTGGTTCATGCAAATCTGAACCTATCGGGCACTTGTCCTCTGCAAGCATCATCATAGTCTTCAGCAAGGTACGGCGCAGCTTGCTTGTGAGGGCATATGTACTTCTCCAAGAATACCATCTCGGACGGCGTGAGTGCGGAATAGTAGTCCCGGTCACGACTTACCAATCCATTTTCCTTAAGATACTTAACAACGTAGTACCTGGGTCTGATCCGGCGCTCCAGACTGTAAGCGAGCATTGCCGGACGATGAGCAATGTATGCTGGTTCCAACCCCATCTCAGAGTAGAGGAACTCTGACATGCGCTGCACCATGCCCTCAGAACTCCTCAGCATCATTGGAGACTTGGACAAAGCAATGCGCACCTCAGCATCCGACCACCTGAGCGTCTTTTTCAGGTACTCCATTTTGGCAGCAATCTTCTCCTCGCTGTGGAATGCAACAGCATGCATCGCGTGCCTGAACATGGGAGATTCCCGGCTCACGCCAAGACCGTCGGCGCGAGCAACCATTGATCCGATGCATTCTGGGTTGGCAGTCAGCAGCCATGGCATACCAACGCATAGCTTGGCAATGTCGCGATCACCCAGCCCGCACTCCCGCAGCAACGCTACATTGGGCTCGACCGCACTCTCGATGCTGTGTGTGAGGAGGTTGCAGTTGAACTTCAGCGCCTGAAGGAAGGCCTCGGAGGAGCCGAAGAGGGTCAGGTAGTACTGCAGCTTGGAGACGACAGATCTGCAGCGCAAGCGGAGGAGGCGCACGATCTCGGAGCGCGACAGCCCGATGCCGCTGAGCGCAGCGAAGTTGGGGGCCAGAGTACTCTCCACGCGGGCGCAGAGTAGCCTGGGGTCCTTGGCGACGGCGGCGGCGACGTCGGCTCTGGAGAGGCCGAGGCCGCCGAGGAAGGCGAGGACGGCGTCGGGATTGGAGGGGGACTTGAGGTGGGAGACCTTCGGGAAAGCCTTGAGGGCCTGCGCTCGGGTGAGGCCGCAGGTGGCGACGAGGTACTCCTCCGCAGCGAATCCCGTGCTCGGGGAAACGGCGGGCGCGGCCGCGGAGAGGAGGCGGCGGAGATGGGCGGATGGAGACGAGAGGAGATGGGACGCGATGCAGCTTTGGAGGCGAAGCATGGCGGCGCGGGGATTCCGATGGGTTTCGACTGCGCGTGGTCACGGCGGCGACTGGAGCGCCGCGGGGGCACCCTCGACGGCGGTGGGAGCAGAGGGGAGGGCTGTAGCCGCTGCGGCTGGCGTGGCAGCTCGAGCGGCGGTGGCTGTGGGAGGGAGAAGCGCGGGAAAGAGGAAGTCAGGGGCGGGCGGGGTGGTCGGCTGGGGAGCTTGGGAGGAGAGGAGAGGCCGGCACGTCGTCGCCGGGAGAGACGACGCGGGCGGCGGGTGACGGGGAGAGAGATTGGGGATTCTGGGGGAAGAGGGGTTTGAAATGTTTTTTTTTCAACTGATTTTGAAATGGTATCTATCGCAACATAGAAGGAAATTTGGAACACAAAAAAGAGATGCGGCGTTTTAATCATTTTTAGTGTGGATCACAGATCCGGTTTATTTTCCATGAACCTCTGCAAAAAAGAAAATTAGAGTACTCTATAGCATTTGATACATTAGATATTCTTTGAACGACATTACAAGCCGACAGATATTTAGGATTCTTCACAATGCCTTTTAACTAGTTTATTAGGCGTTTCTTTCAAATCGCCAACGAATATCTTAATGAGAAATGTTAGCTTCACATTTTCTTCTAGCACCTAGTTAGATGTTTCCTTTAAAAAAAATTAGTTAGATGTTTTAGTATGCAGAACGTCAAAAACAACAACAACAAAAAATAGAACGGACACTTAGTCTTAACCTACAATATAACCCCATTATCCTTTTCATGTAAAAAAGGAAAACGTCAGGAACACAAACCTCACATGCTCCTGCAACAAGTTCGAGTTGCCATCCTTCACCTAACAAAATTAAAAGCTGTAGGATCAAGACACATCCACGTCCTCGGCTCAACAAGGTAACACCGGTAAGAAATATCTGCTCAAAAGAGATCGGATACG